GGAACAGACAGATATAATTTTAGCCTCTCTCTGAGGAAGGCAGGGGCCTCTGGCCCCTACCTTCTGTTTCTCCTTCAGGCAGGGATTAAAGCAGGCCTGGGTAGGCTTACTGCCCATGGGCATGCCAAAGGAATTCAAGAGGCCTGTGAAATACGTATTTCACAGGCCACCTGAAATCCTTTGGTGGGCTACAGGTTGTGCAGGCCTGGATTAAAGTCTCCTTTGGAGAATGGCAGAGAGAAAAGAAGCTAGAGATGTTTATTTTGCCTCCCTTTGAGCAACACAAGACCTCCCATGCAACATGTAGGGGACAGCTCTTACTACATGTGGGCCCTGAAACAAATGGGAGGGGGGAAGCTCCTATTCTTTATAAGTGTAACCTGGGTTGGCATTTTGAGCATGCCTAGTTTGTCTTACTTTGTAGCTTCCTTTGATTGGCTGCCTACCTCTTTAAAAATGGTGAGCCCGTGCTGTTGGATCTTTTTTCTATCTTCTTTCAGCTGGACTCTTTTCTTTGATCCCTAGTGTGGACTCCATGAGCTGAACTGGTGAGAGGGAAAGGATTCCTGCTCTCCTTCTTTTACCCTATCTCACAGAAATGGGCCCAGGGGTGTTTGCTTGTGTTTTGTGTTCTTTTTCTTGAGTTTCAGGTGCCTGAGGTGATCCCCAATGACTAGGAGTTTGAGGCATGGAGATCTTGGAGCCAGGATTGCACGAGTGGGGATGTGGTCAGGCCAGTACAGAAGCCCTGAGAAGCCAGAGTGCCTGGGACTTGACCTTCAACGGGGCTTTGGACATTGACCTGGGAGTGGGATCTATAGAAACTGAGACAAACTGTGAACCTAATCCTCTTCTCCTCCCTGGGAACTGAGGTGGTGCAAGGAAGAAAGGGATTATGCTTCCCATGTGTTGTTGGGGGGAGTAAATTTATATGCTTGTGATCAAATCTTTTGAAGTAAGTATTCTTTCGTAAAAAGCTTCCTGTGTTTAAAAAAAAAAGAGTACAAAATGGAAGAATAGCTAGATTACAATTCATCTGAAAAGTCTGGGTAGTGGTGGTGGTGGTTTGAAGCATAAAAGTATAAATCAACAATGGGACGTGGTACAAAAAAAAAATTAATGTCACTCTTGGCTGCATTCTGAGGTACAGTGACTAATGTGAGGAAAGTATTAATTCCACTGTACTCTGCCTTTGTCTGGCCAGATTTGAAACCCTGTGTTCAGTTCGTAGTAACAACAGCTGACATTTATGACCCTGGGTATTCCCCCAAGGCTCTTTCCTGGGTCTTCTGTACATTCTCTCAGGAAGCTCATCAACTCCCATGGGTTTAATCACTATTTCTTTGCAGATGATTCCCAAATTTTCAAATCCAGCCCTAATCTCATACCTGAACTCTAGTCATGTACCAATTTTTGCCAAAGGACATTTCTACCTAGATATCTACAGGTACTCAAACTCAAAATGCCCAAACAACTTACAGTCTTCTTTCTTATACCTGCTCCTTTCTCTAAACTTCTCTATTTCTGCTGAGTCATCATCATCATCATCATCATCATCATCATCATCCTTGCAAACTCAGGTTCACAACCTCAGATTTATCTTTTACTCTTCACTCTCACTTACCCTGATGCCTATATCCAATCAGTGACCAAGTCTCCTCAATTCTACTTCCTCTTTTGTCTCTTACATCCATCCCCTTCTCACTCTCCATCCTCTTTCCCACTCCCACCCCCAGCTCCCACTCCTTACCACCTATCCTCAGCTCCTTGGAGAGACTACATTTCATTTTGTTTTTTTATTGCTAATATCTAGCAAAACGCCTTATGCACAGTAGGTACTTTTAACATGCTTATTGAATGAATGTATTTTCTTACTGGATCCTTACAATACTTTGAAGGTAGGTAGGTAGAATGGTTATTGCATTTCTTTTTCTTTTTCTTTCTTTCTTTCTTTTTTTTTTTTTGGTTAGGCAATAGGGTTAAGTGACTAGATTTGAACTCAGGTTCTCCTGACTCCAGGGCTGTATCCACTGCGTCACCTAGCTGTCCTAGTTATTGCATTTCTAAAACATTTTTAGAAATGTTCATTTAAAACAACTTTGAGAGCCAATTTGCAAAATAAGGGAAAATAGTCTTATTCACCTTTTGGTGTGGAAGAGGGTGCAAAAATAATTTTGACATGTGGTGCTCATCTACCATATTCATCAGGTGACCGTGAATGACTTTTGGCTGCTGTCCAAAATTTGAATCTATCTTTAAATAATGAAAAATAGGATTTACCACCAACTAGGATATTCAAAAGAATGTGTTGCAAGGCCCTGAAGGCACTTCCTTTTTGAGCTATGACAGCATCATGGGAATAGGTGAATACCTTACTGAGGTGACTACTTTCAAAGAGACAATATTTGCTTTTCCCATCTCCTGCCTCAGTGACTTTGTGTAGGCTGTCAGAATATTCTTACCCTCCCCTCTTGGAATTCTTAGTTTCCTGATTCCAAGCTCAATGCTCAATCCACTGCGCCATCTACCTTCCCTTTAAGTAAAATTAATAATACTAAATATTATAATGAATGATAATACTAACATTAAAAATACAGTGATTAATGATACAGTGATGGGGATCCAAGGGAAGGAGACAAAGGAGATAGGATGGGAATTCCCCTGGAGGGACGGGGAAAAGAAAGTAGAGGCTGGGGTTGACTTGAGGGGAGTGAAGCCCTGGGAAAGGAGGCCTGGAGAGAATAAGAAGCAAAGGGGAGAGAACTAAGTCTGATGTACAGCTCCTGGCATTTTCACTAGCTGTCTCCCAGGCCGAGAATTCTCTCCCTCCTCATTTCTGCCTCCTAACTTCTCTGGCTTCCTTCGAGTCTCAGCTAAAATCCCACCTTCTGCAAGAATCCTTAATGTTCAAGCCTTCCCTGTGAGATTATCCCAGTTTAGTCTGTATATATCTTATTTGTACATTGTACATTTGTCTACTTCATTAGACTGTTTGCTCCATGAAAGCAGGGATTGTCTCTTACCTTTTTTAGTATTCCCAGCACTTAGGATAATGCTTGGCACATAGTAGCTACTTAATAAATGTTAGTTGATTGACCAAAAGTGCATGCAACATTCCATATTTGTAGTACCCCCCATCTCTCTATTTAAAAAATGTTCGGAAATCTATTTTTTCCTCTCCCTTTACCTATGCTTTCTAATATACCAAAGTACCTTTCTAAGCTTGAGACACCTCTTTCAGGGAAGGCTACTGATAATCTGGAAAATATCTGAAGGAGGGCAACCAGGATAGTAAAGGGCCTCCAGGCTTGGCCACATGAGGATAGTTGAGGGAACTGAGGTTGATGGAGAAAGGAGAATGGGGATGGGGAGTGGGCAGGTATGATAACCATCTTCAAGTATTTGAAAGGCTATTTTGTGAGAAAGGTACTAGAATTATTTTGCTTGGCCCCAGGGTAGGGGTTGGAAATACTTGGTTAAAGACACTGGCTTGATATATGGAAATAATAAATAATTACACTGATATGAGTACTTTATATCATTTATCTATTATCTATATTTGATATATTACATATAATACAAATTATCTAGATTTGAGATAATCTAGTTCTAATACATACTATATTGTAGAACAATGTAACACTATATATTATTTTATAGCATAGAATTATAATAGCATTTTATAATATCATTATATAAATGTTATGATGCATTATAATATATCAATATTATATTAATATGGCTTATAATAGATTAATATGGCAAATTATGGATTATTTGTGTGATATACAGTAATATATTATGTGATATATATTTAATATAATACATGGAGTATACCAAATATAGATATATATAGATAAATTACATAGACAGTACTTATATCAAAGTACTACTAATAATTATTACATCTACATATCAAACCTGAGTCTTCCTCTCACTGCTCCCAACCCTGACCTCTGGGATGAAGCAAGGCAAGTCTAGTACCTCTCTGAAGTAATAGCCCTTCAAATACTTGAAAATGGTATCATTCCTGTCTACCTCCACCACCAGTTTTCTTTTATCCATCAGCTTCAGTTCCCTTCAATATATCATATATTATGTATATATCGTATAAAATATAGATAATAAATTACATATTATACACACATATGTATGTGTGTGTGTGTATATATATATATATTAGATATATTTCTGGACAGGGATGATAAACATCCTCAAGTGTTTGAAGCGCTGTCACTTCGAAGCAGTACTAGATGCCTTGCTTTGCCCCAGAGGTCGGGTCTGGGAGCAAGTGAAGGGGTGGAAGACTTGGGCTTGGTGTAAAGAAATAATTAATGACAATATAAATAATTACTTTGATACAAGCAATATAGACATTAATATAATGTCTATATTTCATATAATCTATAGATATATGATCTATACATATTTACCTATTATCCATATTTGACATAATATTATCTATATTTAAGTAATAGGCTAACAGAGCTAGGGAAAGTAGACGAGCTGCCCCAGGCAGGTCCTGGGTTCCCCTCTCACCGGGGGGCTTCAATCAAAGGCTGGACAGCCATCGTGGACTTGGCTGAAGTTTCTGAATGTTCAAGATCTAGTGGGACTCGAAGTACTCAGAGAATCCTCCAAACTCTGGAGTCTAAGACTGTGCTGAGAGAGAGGGAAGAAAGAGTCTCATTGTTTGTTACTTTCAGTCGGAGACCTAACTCCGCCCCCGCTCCGGTTCTTTCTCTGGTTCGCGCCACACCCTGGCCACGCCCCCTCGCCGCCCCCGAGAGAGAGCCCATCTCGGGGCTCCCAAAGGATTCCTAGAGCCTGCTCGTTTCTAGGTGACGTAAGGTGACTTCTGGGAATCGGACCGAGGGCTAGAGAGACAGAGAAGGCGGGACTTCCTGTCCCACGCGGCAGCACTTTCCGTCTGGAGCCGGAAGAGCGGGTCCCCGCTGGTGTTTGGGGCCCCCGGGCGGCTTGGAAGAGAAGGTGAGCTTTCAGAAAGCTTGTTCCCTCCCGGGAGGAGCCCGAGCCGAGCGTCTGGTCTCCTTAGGGAATGGCGCTCGGCCAGACCGCTGCCCCGGTGTCACGGGAGGGACCGGGGGATCGGAGGTGAGGGACTGGGGAGATCCCGAGGGTGGAAGGGGAGGGACCGGGGATCCCGGGGAGGGAGAGGAGGGAGGCTTGGGCTGGGGCTAGGGAATCCCCGGGGGGGATGGGGAAAGGGAAGCCGAGCCGGAGGGGAGCGGAGCCCCGCGGGGGGAGGCCGGCCGAGAGCGAGAGGTGAAGGAGGGAGAACTCGGTCCGATGGGCAACTTGGAGGGCCGGAGAGAGGCTGGGTGTGGAAAGGAAAGAGCCCAGGGGAGCCTGAAGGGAGACGGATGGGGATGTCATCCCGCCAGAGAGCAGCCTTGAAGGACAGAAATTGTGCGTGTAGACTGCCTCAAAGCGGGTGGACAGCTGGCCGTAGGAAGCTTTGGTAAAGGATGGGGCGACCCAGGGTGACCCGTAGGAGATGGGTGCAGATGGAGCAGTTTTCTCTTGGGAATTCCCAAAGGAAAAGACTGGGTTCTCCACTGCAAGAGGTAACAAACGCTCAGGGTCAGGGAAATGTGTTCACCTGTGTACTGGATACTGACCTGTCACTACTTCACTTGCAATTAATACTGTTTTTTGATATAGGTATTTTTCTGTGTGGATTTCAGGGAAAGATTTTCCAATCCCACTGAAGACTTTTGAACTCTTCTTCACCCAGGTCTAATTTAATAGAGCTACTTATGTTGCTTTCCTCGTTCAAATCCATTATATTACAAAATTCCCTTCAAACAGTCAACCAGAATTGTTCTTCTTGGTTCCTTCTCACGAAGTTTGTTGTATTTTGGTTATTTTATTGCTTAATGAAAGTGTCCTCGACACCTTTTTTTTTTCCTGTTGCAGAGAAATTAAGAAAGTGAGTTCTACCTTTATAGGATTTATAGCCACAGTGCATTGTTTATGTCTTTTATGTTCTATTTCTTTATTCTGACATGTCCATTTTGATATTCTGACATGTCTATTTTGATATGCCTGATCATTTCCTAAAATGTTAGGCTATTGGATAGTTCTTTTAGTTGTATTTTTAAGATTAGGAGAAATGCGTCTTTTTTTCCACTGTTTCTTCCCCAATAATGTAGTTTTGAATAGATTAGGAGAAATGCTTCTTTTCTCCTACTACTGCCTCCCCAATTATGACAGTTTCGAATTAGGATGCTGTTAATATTGGCATTTCTTAAGAGCTCTTTTCCCAGCTTTACTGAATTCAATATAGAGTAAAAATTCTGATTGCATTGATCAGAAGATATTTGATTGTTTTAAAATATGGTACCAAAACCCTATTTCTGCCCTTTTATACCTACATTTGAGCATTTTATTTTAATTAATTTTCAGTCTTGTAGCATACCTACTTTTTGGTAATTTATTACTAATCTTAATTATCTTTTTGTATTATATATGTGTTATCTATTTATCTACACATTTATAAAGAGGCAGAAATAGAATGACTTGAATTCAAATTCAATTCAAATACTGCTTCTGACACTAGCAATGTGAGCTTGGGCCAGTCACTTAAACTCTCAGTGCCTCAGGCATTGTCTGAGGCTATGATGTTTATAACAGGTACTGATCTATACTGGTAGAAGGTGTTTCCTCATAGGGAATTTTCTACACCAATGAAATCACAAGTCTGGACAGTATACATACACACACACACACATATAACACAAATGTATAGTCATTTATATGTAATTGTGAAATCAAACTCTTTCTAGATATTAAGTAGCTTCCAAGTTGTTTGCCCAGAAATTTGCCAGTTTTAGCTAGGAAGAGCCAGTGTTTCTGTTAATAGTGCAAGTTGGTATTTGATGATTAGCAATTTTGCTTGTTTCAAGTGTTTGGCTTTTCAAGTATTTGCCTCTTTTACTTTGTAGGTAACTTTTAGTTTGGTTCAGTAGCCTGACTCTTAACCTTTCCATGTTAAGTAGGGAACTGCTATTTGTAGTTGACAGTGAAGTGCCTTGCCACCTTTGTTATTACCTCAAAAAGCACCTCCAGGGTGGCCCTGAAGATTTATGTTTGAGTGAGATCTAAGAGTGTACCTGATACTGGCTTAGACGTAGAACATAACGTTGGCACAAACCGCTGCCATAGAATGTAGACTTAGTACAGTGAATGCTTTCCTCCCTTGTTTTTTCTTTCTTTCTTTCTTTCTTTCTTTCTTTTTTTTTAAGGGAATGGGGGAATAAATGAAAAAACCTAGCAGTTCTTTAAAGTGTTTACATTAACTGCCATATTCATTCTTAGATATAGCTCTTAATTTTAATTCATCCTTTCTCAAGTAGATAGGCCTTGATTTGATCTGTTCATCTGATAAGGCTTGGTTTTATTTTTCCATACAGTTTAGATTAAAACATTTACCCAGCTCATTTTCCCTTCGTTTCTGGGAGAAAAGCAATTGAGAAAGCATTCGAATCTTCAGACTTTAGTTCATGCTTGGAAGGAAGTTCTCGGAGCAGAAACACAAGAACATCTGTCTTCTGGTGTAACAGTTTCTAGTAATGTATTTCAATTGCCCTGCATCCTGAATGATTAAGATTCTTTATCCTCTGTTATAATCACAGAATAAATTTAAAGCTTTCTTACTTGTCTCTGGGTATATTGATTTCTGGTTTTATGTATACTGTCTCTGAACATTAATTTTATTATAAATAACTACTTAATTATTGTACACATTGGATGGAAAGAAATTTTCTGTGAGCCAGCACATGGTCCTCTAGTTTTGGGTACCAAATCAGAAGAGCTTGCTAGAGAGAGGCCAGGACTAGTTTTCTCACCAACTAGCTGCTGTATAACTTGGGAGAAAATGGCTATAGTTCCCTTAGTCCCAGCCTAGATTGTGCAGTGTAACAGCTGAGTGATAGAAAACCTTGCTACTAGGAGGGTGGTGTTCTGGTTATTAGGCAGCCCTTTAATCCACTTGGTTTGGGTTGGGGCTGTGCTTATCATAGAAACTGTGAGGAGCCAAGTTACGACATCAGCTCATCTGGAGAATCCAGGAGCCATCATATCCTGGTAGTTGAAGTTCTCTTAACCTTGCTGCCTTGGGTTCATAACTCTGCAACCCCTGACAGGTTTCCCTACCTTGGGGTAGATTGGTAGACCTGAATCAGCTGTTTATGTCATTGAGAATTAGTGTGGTCTAGGGGAAAGAATGTTGGACTTGGAGTCAGTAGAGGACTCGATTAAAATCCTGCCTCTGACTCTTAATAGTTTCGTGACTATGGGCAAGTCACCTTTCTGAGCCTCATTTTCTTCATCTGGAAAACTGAGGTTTATAATACCAACTCCCAGTGTTGTTTTGAGGATTAGATGAGGGAATGTATATCAGCTTATAGATTTCAAGCCTTAGAGATCATCTAGTGATGACAAATGACAAATGAAACAGGTAACCAGACAAGTAACGGCACTTGTCTAGGGTCACCTTTAAGTGCTATATGAGTGTTGGCTTTTATTTGTTTAAGTAGCAAAACACTAAAGTAACCAGACTATATAAAGTGATTAGTAATACTTCGATTAAAATAGTATTGAGTAATAATGTACTTATAACTCTTGCCTATATGCACTTGGTATCGAAATGGTGTCCACATAGTGGATACATTATACTTGCAAATATTATAGGTAGTAAACTGATTGAGCTTAGTGTTTATTTAAAATTTTTAAGTGTCCATCATATTTCATAGATTTAATGCTGATAACTAAAGAGAGGAGAATTTTTGATTGAGGTTTTAGAGGGAGTATTCAGCTTAGCTAGTTTTGGGGGGACACTTCAGGCATATGGCTGAAAGTAGGAAGAGTCTGAATGCTAGAGGTCAACAGCATTTAAGAAGGTAAAGGGTTGAAAATATGTTTGAAATTTTTGGACCAAATTGTGATTCTAGAGTAGTGCAGAAAAAACAGGATTTGAGAACAAAGTCTTGTTTGATATGTCAAAATACAGTGATTGAAGGAAAGTAGTTGCCACTGAAAGGACATGAGGGCGAGGCCTCGCAGAGAGCCTTAATGGGATAACTGAGTCACTGGAGACTTTGAGAAAGAATGACATGAACATAACAATAGCATTGGAATGTTATTCTGACGTAAGTATTTTGGTGAGAAAATAGAGTAAGAGGCTAGTGAGAACATTTTCACTTGCGAAATGACCAAGAGAGGGGTCAAAATATCACCATCAAAGTCTCACCATGATGCCTCCTCCTGGCATGGAAGTAACCCAGGGTTCTTGAAGACTTATGCCATTGGAGTGTAAGCTCTGGCAGGTCCCACCAAGTTGGGAAGGTTCTGAGTATGAAACCTATTGTCTGAGGAACGGTCTTGGTAAACTAAGACTATCCCTGGTCAAGTTGGCTACAGAATGATGACTCTTGTGGTCACAGCAACTTTGAAGGACTCTACTAAGTTAGAGAGGAATTATGATCTGAGTACCCACATGATTAAAATATGGACCTTTGAAATATTGAAATCAGCATCAAAAGAGGACTCCTATTTGATCCTCAGCAATTATGTTGTTCAGCACCTATGTGGTGTTAACACAAGGCTAGTTAGTGAGGGATGTGTAAGACCCTATCCCAAAGCTGCAGATGAAGGACTGCACACAGTCTGTTCAGGACACAGTGTGTTCAGGGCACAGTAAATAGATATTTGAACAAAGGATTCTTGTAGAGGAGTAGGAGATAAAGGTGATGTAGAATTATAAAATGGGTTGAGTGCCAGGCTAACAAGTTCAATTTTGTCCCCTAGGCCTGCATTTCTTAAATTAATTTGGCCACAGAACACTTTTGGGCTTGACTTATATTGATGGAACCCATAAATGTGGGTCTTGTGGAACCTGGAAACATTCAATTACCCTCAGGATAAAAGGAGATTGGGAAACATTTTGAGCAAAATAAAAGAAACAGTGTATATAATGACAAATTGCCCCATGTAAATAGTTTTGATACAAATCATATTAGTCTGAATATTGGCCACTACTCTAAAATGAGGGGGAAAAATACATGGGCTTGTAGAGGTAGCTTGGAGTGGTG